TTAGACGTATCTTGTCTATCGATAGCTCGATATATCTTCTCTAAGGTAAAGGCCGGAAGAGGCTATTAATCTATATCGAGCCTGTCGTCTAGTAAGGAGTCGGGTTTCTAGAGGGCGAGGTATCTCGCCTCTAGTATATCCGCTACCTTATCTAGAGCACTCCGTGTCGGGTCGTTACTATATAGTAGCCCGTTATAGATATCGAGGCTAAAGATCTTCCTTACTAAGCTAAAGTAGAATAGTTCCTATACCGAAGAGTCCTATATAGGCTTAGTCCGAGCATAGTAGCTAATACCTAATACCTTATAGTATGTCTGTTAGTAGATACGAACAAGGTAGTCGTTTAGAATATCTATATTATACCGCCGGGTTAGAGTATTTTCTACGCTAATAGAGCCGCTCTACTATATCTTAGCTAGATATTTAGAGACTTTCGGATTATATAGTATACCGATACGGAACCTTAGTAGAGCAAGCAGTATATACCTAGAGGTCGCGGGTTCGCTTAGGCTTAGGACAAGTATATATTCGTAGTCGGTTAGGATTCGTAGGCTCTAGTTACTTAAGATATAGAGCGGGTTAGATCGGTGCTCTCGGCAGACGAAGTAGTAGTCTGTCGTAAGTCGTAGTATAAGATAGTATTCCGGAAGAAGACTAGGGCCGCTATAGGTTACTAGTCGGAAGACTACCTTTCGCTAGGCCTATCTATCTACGAGTAAGGCTCTCTCTCTCGGCGTCCCTATACCTATACGCTCGTTATAGTAGACATTAATATTACCTAGAATAACGTCTACTATACTTACCCTCTCTAGTATCTCCCTTAGACCGTTATCTAGTATACTTAGTAGAAGATAGATACCGGCTATTATCGAGAGTCCTAGGGTAACTATTAGTGTTACTACTATAACTATAGGTTTGCCGGCAAGTCGAACTCGAACCGCTTCGGATACTAGTAAGTAAAGCCCGCCGTTATATTATATATCGGTTTTCGTCGGCAGTCTAGATATAAAGGCAATTATAGCTAGTATAGCTATATATCTCTCGAAGCCTATATACTATATCTCTACGATAAAGATTAAGTCTAGCTTACCGGGTATAATTAGGGCTAGTAAACGCTTCTACGTCTTATAGTCTAGTCCCTATATATTTATATATATAATCTATAAAGCGCTACTACCTAATATTACGTCGCTCCGGCCCCCTCGATTATATATCTCCTTATAACTATATATCTCTACTCTCTATAAGCGACAAAGCTTCCTCGACCTCCCCCGCCTTATTATAGCTATAGTTACTACTCGACCTCTAGAACTACTAACCTAGAACCTACTAGAGATTAATTCGTTTATAGCGCGGGCGGAGGAGATAGAGCTTAATCTGGCCGTTAAATAGGTTATAGTTAAAAACAGGTCGGGCTTCTATAAAGCTAATCGATATATACTAACGGCGCTATAGTATATTATATAGGTTAGTAGCGTAGAGTTATCCGGTCTATAGTATATTATAGCGTATAGGTTAGAGGTAAGTCTTCTAAAAGTATATCTTCGGGCTAATCTTATATAGAGGTAGTAGGTACTATAGGAGGTAAGGGTCGGCGAGTAGTAGGCGTAGAGTCGGTATAGAGGAGAATTATATAGATTTCTTTAACGGACTTAGTAAGTATTTCGATCTACCTCGACACTGCCTAGATCTAGGCTTAGGTTTCGATCTGTCCTAATAGTGCCTATAGTCGAGCCTCTTCGGCCGATAGTAAGTCGTACTAGGTTCGTTTCGGTAGTAGGGTTAGATCCTTCGTAAGATAGTTATAGTCGCTAACGTCTAGTTCGGACCTAGTAGTATTACGTATAGGTTTCGATAATACTCTAGATATAGTCTTAACGCCCGACTCCGCTATTGTCGATATAACCTCGATGTCTAGATAGCGATAGAGCCTCCTTATAATCCTCGACGTATCTCGACCCTTTACTATTAGCTCGGTTAGGATATTGTTCTAAAGATAGTCGACCTTCTTCTCGCTAAGTAGCCCGATTACTTTCTTAATATATATATTATAGGAATTAATTAGGCAACCTATACTAGTATCTCTACGTTGCTTAGCCGAGTTATAATACTAGAACTAATAGCGCTTTAATCTAGCCTTAGATCCGTTTCTACCTTCGTCCTTATAGTACGTATAAGACGGCAGATCTAGTTAGGGACAATTCGGACAGGTTAGGCGATTCCTATATATTATATATAACGCTTCGGCTAGACTCTATATCCCGCCTAGGTCGAGGTATCTCTATAGACTCTTAAGAGTCGCTATAGCATATAGGTATACTAGGGTATCTATTACCGAAACTCGGTTACTAAAGTAGATATATTAAGAAAGGTTCGGGTCCGGGATCCCTATAAAAGGCTAGGCCTAATATAGGTCCGAGTAGGCTATAAAGAGAAGTATAATTAAAGCCTTAAAATAGACTATCTAGGTCGCTACGCCCCTTATTAAACTACGACTACTAGGGGTTCCGTAGAACCCTACTACGGTATATATAAAGGGCGTTTAATAGTGTAGCGTAAATACGATATATTAATTCCCTGCCGGTTAGTTTTCTAAGTAGGCCTAATTTACTAGTTAGTTAGTTTTCGAATAGGTACCGATTTGCCGGCTAGTAAACCGCCCCTATTAATAGTGTTTAATAGTATAGTATAAACATAACATACTAAGTTCCCCTAGTAGGTTTTCTAAGAGAGGCTAATTTACTAGCTAGTAAATTAGTCTCTTTCGTTTAGCTATAGTATAACTAGTCTTCCGTAATATATATATAATAATAGGCTACTATATATAGGTTAGATAAGTAAGGTTAGTAGAGTAGGTAAGATATTACGTTAGAAGTATATAATTAGTTATAAGGGGGTAGCTATAGACTAGACAGATAGATACTACTACTAAAGCCGCTATTAAAGTCTAAAAGGCCTACCTAGCTAGGACTCCGCTTCTCTCTCGAGCCCTCGCTTGCTTGTAGCGTTAATAGGATAGTAGTATCGGGGTAGAACTATACCGCCTCTAGCGCGGTAAGTGTAGTAGGGTTACTATCCTAGTTCTCGAGGAGTAGGGGCTCTAGCGGAGGTTACCTACTAGCTAGTATATCCGTTAGGAGCGGGAGAATCGTTTCGCTAAGTTCGATTAACTCCGGGCGGAATTGCTTAATAGCCTCGAGCTAAACTACAAGCTTATATACCTTTAGAGTCTACTCTATAAACGACTTCTTAATTATGTCGGGGAATAGCGTAATAATATCTCGATAGAGGCTCTCTATAACTATTAGCTAACGTATCTAGTACTTAATCTCCCTCGTAAAGTCGTCCTAAAGCGCGCCCTTATACTTCGAGGTACTATAGAGTTAGGCGAATATCTCCTCTTTCGCGACGACCTATTATAGTTATATAGCGCCTATTCTCGCCTTGCCCTATAGGAAGGCATACCGAGCTCTAAGGTCGGCCTTCTATATTCGTTCTTATAGTACGTCGAGAATACGTCCTACTCGGGTACGTTATACGCGATCGTATAGCGTAACGAACTCTTAGTCCTAATCGGCCTCCGCTAATAGCTAGTATCGTCGCTTTGTCGCTATAAAGTCCTTGTCGTCCGTTACGCTAGGTCTAGCCTACTAAGGTAGTAGTAATATCCGATCTTGTCGCTATATCTATAGAAGGTCCCTCTATCCTAGAGCTACCTAGTAGTTACCGATCTCCTATAAGTAGGCTACTATTATATACTATACCCTTCCTACTATAGCCGGCGCTCTTACCTCCTACTACCGGTATACTTACGCCTCTATACTTAGAGTAGCTCCGACCTCCGCCTCTATTAAAGAGGGCCGCTAGTATAGCTATTCTCCTCTCTTACTCCTATCTACTAGGTCTCTTTCGCCTTACTATAGAGTTACTAGGTTAGCCGGTCGGTCCTTATATCTACCTTAGTATATTAGACTCTAGTCCCTCTTACGCTTCGGGCCTAAGAGTACTGCCGGCAATGTCGCTAGTACTATCGCTTTCTGTCCTAGAGTAGGCTCGCTCGTTTACTATAGAGTATCTAGGTCGATAACCCTCTAGATATCTATATATCTACGCTACTCGAGAAGTATAATAATACTACGATCCGAGCTACTACTAGAGCTCGGGCAAGACTATTAACTCGAGTGCTTGTCGCTTATATCGATATATATAAGTTTAACTAGTCGGCTAGGGCGAGGTTATCTATTAGAGTTATATCTAGAGTCTATTATAGGTAAGAGAGTAAGATGCCGGTTTAGCTTAGGTTATATAGCTACGAACGAAATCTTAGGTCGAGTTAGACCTAGTTCCGTCGGGCTATAGTATACTAGAAGGTAGAGTGTTAGCGTAGGCTTTTATAGCCTAAGCTTAGAGCGTAAAAAGCCTTAAGCTTAGGCTATAAAAAGCCTGCCGATCTAGAGGCTCCTAGTATAGAGTATATATAGTCGGATTAGAGAGAGAGTAGTAGAGTCGGGTAAGCTAGGTAGTCGAGTAGGTTACGAGGGCTATTATAGTTCGTATTACTACTACGATATAGAGTACTAGATATTATAGTTTAGTAGCGGTCGTATTAAAAGAGATACTCCTTAGAGTTAAACTAGACGATTCTAGTAAGGTAATCTATCGAGGTTATATCTCGAGTATACTATTAGGTATAGATATTATCGCCGCGATATAGAGTATCCGTAGTTAAGGGGTTAGTAGCTAGTCCCGTCGGTTATTATAGGTACGAAGTCCTTACTTATAAAGTATATAGAAAAGATAGATCTTACTAAGCTTTACTCTAATTAGAGTTTAGCTAAAGACTATAGTATATATAACCGTTATCCTATAGTAATATAGATACGTAACGTACTACTTCGTTTTAACCTCGCTGTCGCTTATAATTAAGGCTAAAGTTAATATAAAGATCTCTATATTGCTTGTTTTCGAGGTATTACTAGTTACTAGTAGCCGTAGCTATAATGCCTATTATATAGTACCTACTATATATTACTACGTAAGCTTATTACCTTCTCTATAATAATATAAAGTCTTGTCGTACTATTAAAGTAGCTCCTCCTCCTCTACTAGTAGCGACGACGGCGCTAATAGCTATTTCTACTTAGGGTTCTATTTCTACTTCTACTTCTACTTTTACTACTTAAAGTCGAAGAACCTATAATATGTCTATACTCTATACTCCGGATATATATAACCCTTATCGCTAGATAACGTTAGTACTACTTATACCTCTATAGTATCCTTATACTTAATATATAAGAAATAGAAGTATAGTGTAAGATAGCCTATAGGCTTCTCTTCCTCGCTGTCTTCTACTTCTACTTTCTACTTCTACTTCTACTTTTGTTTCTACTTCTATATCTATTTTCTACTTCTACTTCTACCTCTACTTCTACTTCTACTTCTACTTCTACTTCTACTTCTACCTCTACTTCTACTTCTACTTCTACTTTTACTTCTTTCGTACTTTCTACTTCTACTTTTACTTCTTTTATACTTCTACTTCTACTTCTGCTTTTACTTCTTTCGTACTTTCTACTTCTACTTCTACTTCTACTTCTACCTCTACTTCTACTTCTACTTCTACTTCTACTTTTACTTTGTTCGTACTTTCTACTACTACTTTTGTTTCTACTTTTGTTTCTACTTTTGTTTCTACTTCTACTTCTACTTCTACTTCTACTATTACTTCTATTTCTGTTTCTACTTCTACTACTACTTTTGTTTCTACTTTTATTCTTTCTAGCCTTCGAAGAGGCTAGGCGTACTACGCTTACGTCTACTAATATACTAAGATATCGCTAATACCTTAGAAAGTGCTATATTATAGCTACTTATATAAAAATAGCTTTATTGTCCGAACTAGGATATCGATAACGAGCTAAGATTACGACAATATATTATATATCTATATTACTATAGGCGAACCTATAACGTAGAGATAGCCGTAGTACGACTAGGTTTTTAATAACGATTATAGCGCCTATAGGAATATACTAGCGAGACGTTATAGACCGAGTATATAGGAAGGAGCTTATATACCTAGATCTAACAATAACGATTAGGTTTTACAAATAGGTAGCTTAGACGAAGTAGTATAGCTAACTGTCTAGTCTAGTACTATAATAGTAGTTAGTTAGCTATCTATAATACGATTATAAACTATATACTAGGAAACAAAGGACGACGTCTCTACTAAAGGAGACAATACTACTTTAACTAGTAATAATAATAGCTACTTTAATAATATTTATAGTAAGACTTTAGGATTAAAGATACTTATAATAGATAGTAGCTAGCCTATTTACTAGCAAGCTATCGTATTTACTAGCAAGCTATTATATTTACTAGTAAGCTATTATATTAGAGTACCTTTAAGTTATCTACGTAAATAATATATTATTGTTCGCCCTTAAAAGGCCCTCTAGTTCTACTCCGATCTCTTACTTATAATCTATTCCTACTTACTACTTAGGCCTATATTAGATATAGATCGACCGGCCGCTCTTACCTTTATCTTAATTGCTTACTCTCTCCGGCTACCTACGCTCTTTAAGACTCTATATACGCTACCCCTACGTACTTAGTACTCTAGTAATACTATAGCCTCTTATACTGTCTTAGTAGCCTAGCTAGAAGACCTTACTACGACCTATATAGAGAAGCTTGTCCGCTACCTCTACTTCCTCGAGCCGACCGACAAGATAATTAGCGAAGGGCAAAATAAGCTATATACTACGATACTTAAGAAGTAGGATACCTATAACGCCTTAGGCGAATATATTCGCGATTATAGTAAGGGCGTAAACTATAACGTCGAGCTCGGAGATAGAGGATTTATAGAGGTTAGTATACTTAGAGGAACTTCGTATATAGTATACTCTTTCTTCGAGGTCTATAAGAATAGCCGTCCTACTACGCTCGGCGATATGTCGACGTAGGCTAATAGGAGTCTCTAGGTCACCCTCGTTACTAGGCCGTTCGACTATAAAGACTACTTCTACGCCGAGGTCCCTAGCGAAGCCGAAATAACCGATTAGTATAGTATAGTCAGTTTTATCGCCTACGGCAAGGTCCTCGATTAGAACGCTATAGAGTTCGACACTATATATACTATACCGACCCTTACCTAGTTATATACTAAGATCGTTAAGGCCTTAACGAAGAAGTTAGAGCTATAACCGGGCCTAGGGTCTTTATACGCTATAGGTAGAGGAACTCGGTCGATAGAGAGTCGCGTTATAGAATATATAATAGCTGCTCGTAACTACTTAAGATAGATTCTAGCGGTTACCTATATAGAATATAGGTAGAGGATATTCGTTTACTAAGACCCGGCGTAGTAAGCTACTAGGCGCAATATAGTATATAGATTAATATATTCTATATATAGTTTTGTCTTCTAAACTTCTAACGTAACTATAACGATATAATTAAGTAAAGGCAAATTTACCAACTAGTAAAGAAAGTAGGCAAATTTACCGGCTAGTAGATCGTATATATATAGTAATAGGGTACTTAGAGTTTAGCTAGTAGGCCTGTTTATAGCGTAGTTAAGCGCGGCTTCGGGGCTTCGGGCTAGTCCGCCGTAGGTACCTATATCTCTACCTAGAGACTTTATATCTATTATGCTACTATACCTTATATATATACTACGCTATATAAAACTACTATTACGAATATAGGCTAGGAAGAGAGTCTTACTTACTTAGTTTACCGGTCGGTAGATTTGTCTTTTATATATATATATTAAGTTTATAACTCGGGCTTATTAAGTTTATAACTCGGATCTATCGTTTTACTACTACGTTTACTTATAAACGCTCGGTCGGGCTAGCGCTATATAAATACTACCTATACTATCCCGATTGTCGATTTACTCCCTCTTCTTAAGTGAATTAGCCTATGTTATTACTATATTAGCGCTAGCGCGAAACTTTATTTTAGAGAATATATATCCTTTAAACTTCCTTCTTAGGGTTAGGGTTAGGGTTAGGGTTAGGGTTAGGGTTAGGGTTAGGGTTAGGGTTAGGGTTAGGGTTAGGGTTAGGGTTAGGGTTAGGGTTAGGGTTAGGGTTAGGGTT